ACCTGTAATTCTAGCACTTGGGAGTTTGAGGCAGAAGGATCACTACAAGTTTGAGGCCAGCCTAGACTACAGAGTGAGTTTAAGGCCAGCACAAATTACATAGTGAGACCCTGCCTAAAGAGAGAGAGACAGAGACAGAGAGACAGAGAGAGAGAGAGAGAGAGAGAGAGAGAGAGAGAGAGAGGAAGAAAAAAAGAGAAAGATAAAAAAAGAACAGACAAACAATGAACAGATCATTTGCAGATAAAGGAAACTCAAAAAGCTGATAAACAAACTCATATATTCATTTAAAGGAATTCAACTAGAACAGTGAAATAGCAATTATTTCCATGAAACTGTCATAAATGACAGTTTTGGGCCATGTTAAGTCATTAAAAATGACATGTGCCATTAGGAAATACACTGTTACAAAGAGTGTACAGGTAGAGAGTGGCACTTAGTTAAATTATATAAACACGTATCCTATGACCAGCAGTTCCTCCTCTGGGCATATAACTCAGAGGTGTGGTAATGATCCATATTTATTGCAGTGCCCTTTGGAGTGAATGGACTGTTGGACATTCTCCTAGTGCCCATCTTTAGGAGAATGGAAAGCTAAGATGTAATCAGTACACATAGTATAGTGTTTGCAACAGCTGGAAGCCAAAGACTGCAAATGTGCAAAACAACACAGGTGGATCTAGAAAATGATACTGAGTAAAATCTATGAGAATAGTGAATAAGGTAACCCCATTCCATTGTCATACATTTAAATTATATTCAGAATGATTTTACAAGAACAGAGTTTTCCAAAACATATAAAGTCTACCCATTTAACACACTAGAATGGTGCATAGGGAGGGTGGAAGAAGAGATGAAGCATAAGAAGTAAGTAGTTCAGAGACTGATAATCCACAAGATGTGATAAACTGGGCAGCACGGTTAATTCAAAGCTCTGGTCTGACAGCCACCCCTCTATTCCTTTTGGACATGCATGGGAGTGTCCTTCTGTCTCCCTTGTTCACTTGCCTCTGTGGAACAAGAACTCAAGCTGCTTCTAAGCGATTGAGCAAAGAGAAGCCCTCTGAGCTCCCCCTTTGGTGGTGGTAGTGGGGAGCATGTGGTACACGTATGAGTTTTCAGAAATGAGTTGTGATCACCAGGATTTCCTTTCCAATCTAAGCATCTGATAACTGATTTTCATGATCCACCATCTACTGTTCTAGATCTAGACTTTGTCAACCTTCACTGATTTTCCACACCTCAGAAACTGACGCCTGTCTTAGAGGAGACTCCAGAGTTAGCCTGAAAAGCCCACAGAGCAGCTCAGCCGGGATGTGCAGTAGCAGGGACTGTAGCAAAGAAAACTTCCCATTACCCATCTCTGGGTACCTCTGCAAATGATAGTCATCGCTTAACCTCAAGGTCACGACAACCTATTTTATAGCGCTCGCTGTCTCTGAGGATGAGCTCTAGCGAGAGACTTGTTTGCTTTTTATAGTACTAAAAGAGACAATGAAAATTGCCTCTCAGAAGATCATTTCACCAAGTCTCTGTTGCTCTGCAGGGAATATTTGTTTCCTCATTTATATTCATGTCTCTAAAAGACAAGTAGACCTTGGATGAAATTTCAGGCGACAGTAAATTATAAATAATGTATCCATTTTTTTCTCTTCCATACTACTTGTATTTAATTCCCCCCAGAGTCTTATGCAAACACCAGAGACAAGAGGACAGGAAGCTATTAACATGATGGAAAGAATGAAATGGACTGATGTTATGTGGCAGGAACACAGCAAGGGAAGACATCTTGATCAAAGGAAGGTTTTCTGAAGCCAGATTTTTCTTTTCTCCTTTTTAAAAAAATTTAGTATTAATTTTTTTTGACATTGCAGCTCTGTTCCAGACCACTAGGTAGGCATGTCAGGGGTTATCAGTGGATGCAGGCCAGTTTGGGGCCAAACTTGAAGCTTTGTTGTTCCATCACTGAAAGCACAGAAAACACTCAGAAGGATCAGCTGGGAGCAACACATCCTAAGAACAGGATGCTGCTCAGTGGAAAACTCAGGTACTGACCGTGAAGACAGAAAGGATGTTAGCTGCTAAAAGGAAATAAGCCTCTAAAGGCATCCTCTCTGTTTTGCCACCACAAGGCTTTTGGTGTTCCCTGACACAGCAGGAGTAATTCGTGCCTTGGGGATGGATGGGGTGAAGACTGTTAGCATCCAAATCTGCGTGTAAGTGAAAACATTCTGCTCTTCATTTCTGCTTCTTATCCTTTGGTAACATCCTCACCCCCAGCTTTAGGAAACTGACACCCTTGTATTCTTTACCTCCTTAATAAAATTTGCTCTTGGAAGAAGTGGAAAAGGTAGGGGGAAGGGACTGGCTACTGGCAATGAACACTCATTAATATTAACATGCAGATAGCTATGTAGCCTCGTGTAATTTATTCAGGCAAATTTGCATCAGGGTAGCAGACAGCGCCTGAAATTAGGACTTTGGCATCATACTCTCAGGCTGTACTTCCTTGCCTGTGCTGTCCCTTTAAGAAGTATTAAGAAATTTCCCCTCTGCTTCAGTTTTGCTTCACTGGAGACTTTCTCTTCTGCCCTTTGCAGCTCTTCAGTTCAACCAACATTTATTATGTCTGTTATATATCAGGCTTTGTGCAAAAGACTTTTACACACACTTTTCTGCTCAAGAATTTTTTATTCTACAACCAGTTGTTTTGGTGAGTTCTACTGAATCTCCAAGATAAGGCCAGGAGGCCAGGAAGATTTTTGTGTATCCATGACTTACATTTTAATTTTCACTTTCTAATAACACTATTTGAAAAGTTCCACACATGAGCAACCCTTGTAATGTACCAGGTAGTCGTGGTGAGTCTCTCTGATCCCTTAAACTCTACATGGAGCAAACAGCTCACTTAGTAACTATATTTACTGCATAGGGAATTTAGATTTTCAGTTTTCTCCTTATTGAGGTGATGCCCCAGGAGTCCAGGGACAACTAGAGTCTTACAACAAACTAACAACATAAATATGTCGTGAGAGTCCCTTACACTGTGCATCAAACAAAACCACTATCCTGGCCTTCTCTTCAGATTTCCATGTGAGCTGTTATCCCTTGGTTTATTTGATCCTACTGGGTCTGGATCCACTGGATCTGTAACCTCACATCCAAACTATTGAATCTCCCTTGGTGCACCTATCCAGACGTGGTGGGGTGAGGCACTGCTGCAGAGACCACAGAGACTTTGCTCAGGTTGTCTTTTTGCTCATTACGCCTAGCTGTGGCATCACCAGGATGGGAATGAAAAGTTGATACTACCCTGAGCAAGCGCTGAAACCCATACACTGTGTGTGTGTGGGGTAAAATTATTAGTTTAATCTAATAAATATGAAAAGTGGGAGTTCTGTTTAAGTATCTGCTATCTGTGTTCTTTTAATGGGTAAGAAATTCTTAATTCAGTGGAAAACTCCAACTCATAGGTCTTTAAGTGATAGTTTGAGAAAGGGGACCACAGAAGACCCTTTAATTAACCTGCAGATGTGCAGGGAAGGATTTAAACAAGGAGGACAACACCTTAATTCTTAGATAAGGTACCTTTGATACAGCACAGAGGTGAGTGCAATTGACTTCAGCCCCAGAAAAGAGATCAAGTGTCCTCTAATTTTCACTTGGTAAAAATGCATCTTGGTTTTATGTCTTGGTTGTGCATTCACAGCTTATTTTCATTCTTTTAATTAAATAAAATGTTTGTTTTCCTGATTAGTGCATGCAAACGAGGAGCTTTGTGAAGTATGGAAAGGTATAAAGAGGAAAAGAGAGATTAGGCATAAACTCACTACCTATGGAACCCCTGGGCTTGATGTGGAGCATTTGATTTGCGTGTCTTCACTGGGTAGTTGGAACCAGTGTATTGAAAGAAAGGCATCTGAGTGGAGCTGGGAGACTTCCTGTCACCCTCTGGGTATGGAGAGAGGAGCTCAGGGGAATGGCTAGGAATCTAATCATCCCAGCACTTCTAGAAAGCACGCAGACATGCACCTAAGAGCACGGATGGGCTCACATTTGCCCCACAGAGAAACACACGCATACCACAGAGTATGAGACAGGGGACAATTCAGCTGGGCTGGAAGTCCCACAATACAAACTGTAGAAAGGTACCAGGGAAGGTGGCCGGGAGGAATATGAACAACGTACATCCCAGAGCTGGGACATTCTGAGTCAAATTCCAGTTCTGCCACCCAAGAGCTACAGGATACTGGGTGAGCTGTTTCATGTGTCTGTGACCTAATTCTTTCATCGGTTAAAACATATAGATAGTAGCCCACTCCACATAGCTTATGATGAAGATTAAATTACATAATAGATATAATGCAGTTAGGACAATGCCTGACACATGGTGCCACAGGGTAAATATAAAGTTATTTGCTGTTCTGGATACAACTCTTTGATCCCTTAAGAGTATCTTTAGAAAGTCTTCTGCTGACTTAAAGGAGTAAGCCTGGAGGGACAGTTAAATGCAAAAGTAAAAAGCATTTGTTCAAATTCTGACCCAGTTCTGCAAGTCTTTGACTTCTAAGCACTTGGGTTTCATTAGGTGCAAAATGAAAGACAAAGGCCTGCCTTACCAGTTGTGTTAAGGACTGACTAGAGATCACAGGGGTGTGAAATGCTTTGTGTATGGTAAAGGGATGCCATTTAAGACTGAGAGCTTACTATTGCTATGAGTCTCTGAATATGAGCTGCAGAGGAAGAAGAGAAGGAAAAACTTTTCAGGTACAATGGGCAGGAAAACAGAACAAGAAGGAACTCACAGTCTTTACTTGTTGCTTTTGATCCAGGAGGATCAGGGATTTGGATCCCTGGCTCCTGTCATTAACTTGGTGGTGTGTGCAGGTTCTCAAAGGGAGTGTCATTGATAGGTTCCTGCCAGCCCAAGCTCAGTAAAGGCTGCTCAGGAGCCAGAGGTCATGCAGGGAAGAAGCATCAAAGGGCCATAACTGCCTCACCTGTGGTGAAAGCCGTGGAGGTGAGGCTGCTCCGCAGGGCATCCTGAGCCGCCTGCAGGAGCACTGTGTAATCCGTGTTTTCCAACAGGCCTTCCAATCGGATCCAGGTGTCCTCTGCATCCACAATCAGCTCCTACAGAGAGCCAAGGGAGGGAGGGAGGTGGGAGCAACCTGCTTGTGATACGGGAAGTAGCGAAGGGAAGCTCAAATTCTATGGCCAGTTAGCTCAATGTTTTTCTTGTCATCCCACAGTACGGAAAAAACTGCCAATCAGCAGAAAGGATGGTTTTCATGTGACATCTGGGCCACCTGCTAGCTCAAAAATGTGCACTGAGATTTATGCAGCTGGATCACTGAACTCAGTGGTTTTCAGAGTGCACTGGGTTTGCTTGACAGTATAGGAAGAAGCCAAGGAAGTTGGATCCTGGGTCTTTCTACTCCCATCAAAAAGACTAGCTCTGCTTTAATCTTTTCTGTATATTTGGATTTTGCACATAATTTCTTAAAAAGGATCCCACTGCAAACAAAAAACTTGAACTCCAGTGTTCTAGTGGGTTGTGTTGACTGATAACATAAATTTTTTCGTTCTTTACTGTAGCTTATATAGATGTTGCCTGTGTAGTTGCTTGTTGAGGCACAAAATGCAGTTGAATTTGGTACCCAGCTTGCACTTGCTTGGGCTGTTAGAAAGTTCATTCTGTACCATGTAGTGGAGGTTTTGGGGGTTTTATAATATTGGGAAGCACCATCACACTTTGTGAAGCTGCAACAGTAGACTCAAACCTGGAGAAGGTGTCAAGGCCTGGAGAAGGCCAGTGCTGTGCCTCAGCTCTTGCAGAGCTTGGGGATGTGGGACCTCGAGCATGGGGCTTGCAGACTAGGGTTCTCTCCTCAACAGTAGGCTGCGTACCCATGTTGGGAAGCCCAGTTGATTTCCTGTGAATTGCTTCCTTCCCCCACCCTCCTTTCCACAGGTCACTCCTCCGTCAGTTTCCACATACCCTTGCAAGGGAGACATGGGCATGCCCCTTTCCAGCACATTCTTACTTTTCGGCTTCCATCGGTAGATTTGTAGGTCAGAATGTAATTCTCAATGTCTGCCCTGGGAGGCTGCCAAGAGATCAGTGCACTCTGTCTGGTGACTTCACTGGCAGTCAAGTTTGCTGGAGGGTCCAGGACTGCAAAGGAGAGAAAATGCCAGGGTGAACGTGTCTCTCCAGTGCTTCCCTGTTTGCTGTCAGACACAGTGGTCTCCTTGCCCACCTTTGTGGTCACTGGGTTACTCATCACATAATGACCCCAATTCTAACTTAGAAAGAGACAAAAAGGAGTTCCTGAGTCAGAAGATGATCATTCAGAGTTGTGACCATTGGTTCAGCTACTTTCCCACTTCCCTGACTTATGCCTCGGGGCCTGGGAATGATGTCTTCCAATCCAGGCTTCTCCGCCTGGGACCCTGACGCTGTTCAGCCACAATGTCTGGGAGTTCCTACTTGAACTTAAAACATTCTGCATTTTATCTTTGTCTATTACATTCCTGTTCATGATCCCACTCAGCATCTCTTTTCCCGACATCTCGCCTTTATTGTCCTTCAGACTTTTCTGGGCCAGATGCATTTTTAGTATTGTGCTCTCTTTGTTCTACCTATCACACAGGGGTCCCAGAGAGAATGGGAACGGGACCTGTTCTGCTGGCCAAGAGCTGCAGCTCTCTGTCACTGGACTTGGGCCCCACTGGGCAAAATAAGCGTTTAAAGCTACACCGTCCAAAGCCCAGAAACTATGGTTCAGTTACTACACGAACACTGGTTATTTTTATGATTCACAAAATCCTCAAGGCATATCAGACCTGCAGAAGACCACGCACTCACGGGTAGAGAAGTTGGTGCTGATGGTGCCACTGGTCAGAGGTCCACTGGCGGCATACATGGTGACAGTATAGTGGGTACTCGGAAGCAGGTCCACAAGCTGGAATTCCTCGCTGAGTCCATCAACCAAGATGGTTTCTCCAGCAACTGAAGTCAAATGTATATGGATAAGGATTGAATAAGGCTATGTGATCAAATCTAAAGGGATCTCACAAACGTTGGATGCTGGAGAACTTAGGAATGAATGACTTTTATAGATTATGGAGCTTATCATGTTGTATCTAACACCCCCCACCCACCTATTACATCCTCATTATGGGGAGGCCAAATTTCCTCCCTACTACTCAGGTCTCTAGAGTTACAAAGAATAAGCCAAATATTTGGTCTCTATGAGCTTTTCCTTCCTATAGCTCTTCCCAATTAAGTGCTGTTTTCTTCATACTAAGAATATTCATCCCTCGCTTCTCATTACATTTTTGTGACAGCTCTAAAATTGTCACAATCCTTGCTGCTTTTCTTTGAACAAGTAGTCAGGACACTGGTAAGTATCTCTGCTAAAATGCAAAGCTTGGAGAATTGAGAATAATAATATTTGGGATGCAATGGCCAATCAAACAAATGGTCAGTCTCCGCTTCTGCTTCTGTTGTTTTATTAATTTGTTAAGCTTTAGGGCAACCATTTGCTATTATTTTCATATTCAGAGATAAGTATTAATCAAAGAAAGAACTTATTTATTGCTACCCCATCCAATCTTTTATAGTTGCATTTTACACCCATGGGCAGAGATTTGCATTTATATCTATTGCTTTTTTGCCTTGTTGATTGAGTTGGATCACTGTTCTATTTTATTGAAGTATTTTGGAATTTGGATTATATTAAGCCCGGTTTTGTTTTACCTACAAATTTAGTAAGCTTGTCTTCTCTGAATTCACTCAAGCTGTTAATAAAACTGTTCTTTATATCAGGGCCAAACCCTCTATTGGGCAATTAGAATATTTCAATATTATTCAGCATTTAACCAAGTTTATTAAGAATGTCTTCAAACTAGGTAGGGCCTGAAGTTTCAACTTAACTGTGGTCCCAACATATAGAAAAGCATGCAAACAAGTTAAAGTACAAACTAACTCTTTGGAGGAACACACGTGATGACATGTGATGACTACCTCTTTAATACCTCCTTTGCTGTGTCCTGCCATCAGTCACTGCTTCAGCCACATCAAACAATGGCAGTTTCTTAAACTCCTCCTGCCCTCTCGTACCCCTGAAAATGCTGATCTTTTCCTTAGAAATATATTTTACCTCCTTTTCACTTTCTTTGACTTTATTTTCTTCCTCTTTCCTCTGTCTCAAATTATAATGGCCCACAGTTATAGTTGCCCATGTTCCACACTTCCTACATCACGACACTATGCATTGTTGGAACTACTTACTTCTCTGCATCGTCACATAGGTTTAATGAAGATAAGACCTCAAGAATTGATATCATCTTGTTAAGTATGTTTCCCATGGAGGGAATCAAAAGTATTTGTTGAATGAATAGAAGTGAATTTCTACGATGGCACTGTGTTTTGTACCTGTGTCTTACTGCCTTAGGGGAACCAAAAAGCTTTGGCAAAGAAGAGACTGGTGAAGGCAAGGTTTGAAGGGTGGGCTTTCTAGGTAGACCTGCAGGGGATAGTTTCTTGGTGGAGGAAACAACATGTGCAAATGTCTGAGAAAGCGTGGTGAGAGTGAAATATGCCAGATTGTGGCATGCACAGAAGAATGGAGGGAGTTGAGACAAGCTGTGCATGAATCCAAAGAAGTTCAGATGTATTTACATAGTGATATATCCACATAGTGGTACTCATTCTTTGATGAGAGCCATGCAGTCACCTACAGTTCCTGCTAAGTCCAAATGTGGGCCACCAACTATAGTCTATCTTTAAGGATTAAATGACACGCAGTTTTCTAATGCCGTGGTGAAACACAAGTATGCTAGCAGATTTGCCAGTGAAAAACAAGGACATAAAGCACTTTTTATGGAACTTACTTTTAGAGAACTTGAGTTGATATGTAGCAATCACTAACTACTTTTACATTTTCAGTTTTAATAGTCTCTTTTAGTTTTTACTTTCCCATGCTTTCACAGTAATTTTAGTTCATTGCAACTTACAGAAATTGACTTTTTCTGCCACTTTTTGAAAAGTCAAGACATCTGCCTGCCTTCTGTTTTCTGGTATCTTTGTTCTCTAGATTTCTGAATATAACCTGTAACAATTCTGTGATCACATGTTTAATTTAGGAAAGGGAATAATTTTTCTAAGCCTGGAGACTAGCAGTATGCAGCCCTATTTTGCTTTAAGCTTCCTTATTCAACTTCAAATAATGCAAGGTGAACAAGCCCGATGTAGATAACATTGAAATTCAAGATTTCATGTTCATTCAGCCTTTTGGATTGGAATGCGTAGAGCAGACCAAAGCTACAGAAAAGTTTAGCAGCTCCCAATCCTTTGTCACCTCTTATCATTTGTTATCTGCCACAAGCTTGGTCTTATAACTTCCCTGTTTTTTTCCCCTCTGTATGCATCCAAAATTCTGCTTTGTTGTCTGAAGTTCTTTAGGGAAAGTTTTTGCTCAATTATGAGTTCTAGTGTTATTTCTCTTTTTAAATTTTTCTTTGGTTACCTTCCTGTCTCACATTTTTCCGTTATAACTTTTGAAAGTCCTGTAGTTGATAGTTTGCAGACTTTGAGGATAACTTGATGGCCTTATATATAACTGAAGAAGGAAAGCAGGAGAGTTTCCTATTTGTCCCTCAGGTTGAGAAAATGCCTTTTTTGGGGGACAGCACTGGAGATTGAACCTAAGATCTCCACACTGAGCTACACTCCCAGATCTTTCTTAAATGTTTAAATTTGAAACAGGATTTTGCTAAGTTCCCAAAGTGGGGCTTGAACTCAGGATCCTTCTGCTTTAGCCTTCCAGAGTGCTAGGATTACAGGTGTGCTCCACCATACCAGATGCACTGGCCAATCAAACAAATGGTCAGTCTCTGCTTCTACTTCTGTTGTTTTATTAATTTGTTCAGCCTGGTCCCTGTTATCCCCACCCACCTGGTGCACAGGCTTGAGATGCTCACCTGTGAAATGTGTGAGCACAATGACATAGTTCTCCACTTCCCCTGCAGGTGCCCTCCACTGCAGCAGGGCTTCTGTTGGGGTGATGTTGGTAGCAATCAGATCCACAGGGTTATCCATGGCTGAAAGAGGATGGGAGAGCATCGGTAAGGGTGAGAGGAGCTGCTGGGTGGAAGTGCAGTAAACTATCAGAAATTTCACTCATGATGAGTATCTACTACTATCCTGGGAGAGTAGGGCACAGTGGGTAGAGACTTCTTCTCTTTCTCCCCTCTGGCTCCATCAGCCTCTTCATCTGCCTCTCCTCCTTCTTCTCAAGTATCCAGTTCTCCCTCAATAGCCACCAGATCTTCTTTCATCAGTTGCTTACCTGCAGAATACTGTAGGATGTGCTATGGGGGATTTCAGGTAACTTTGTGTTTTAGACAGTTTATTATGGATAGAGAACCTAAGAACGTATTGAAATTATTTGAACTCTTTGCTGAATGAAATAACTATGCTTCCAGGTTCATTTGCACTTTCATAAATGTAAGATGTGCCTTGTGGAAAGATCTCCATTGATGAATTTCAGGAAGTGCAGTGGTTTCCCCAGTGCTGAGAACTCAGAAAGTACTCAGTGAGGACTTATAGAATGGCTGTATGGAATTCAGGTTGCCACTAAGTCATATGCAATTATTGAATTCTTGCTTCACTACTCACAAAGCTCTCTCTGGTATTCTTTTTGTTGCACTGAGAGTCAAGGGGCTTCTTACAGGCTTAGGAAGGACAACAATGTCTGTTGGGGGAACAGAATTTGCTTGTCACGGGACCATCTCCCTATTTTTATTTGCCCATGCTATAAGCCTTTGCTTTGTTACTGTGCTTCTCTTCCATCCCACAAAGTTGGGGTTACAGTAGCTCAGGTTACCATAGTACAGGTATTACAGTAGTTTAGGTATTTAAGGCTTACACAGTTTATTCTGGGAACCAAGATCTGCTGTCGATCTGCCCTGTTCTCTAATGAAAGGGCTTGTGGTTGTTTATAATTGCCTATGTTCCTCACCACAAAGTGAAAACTAGAAAATATTTTTTAGAATTTTAAAATTTGAATTTTATCCATAATCTGTGCTTTCAGTGTTCTTCAAATGAAACCCTTATTAAATTACAGTCGGCTTGATTTCTCGGAGACAAGCTTGATGTCCTGAAGGAACTCTCATTTCTAAAAGTTGTGAGACTAGAGACTTTGCATTAAAATAGCAACAAACAAACAGAGATACTTCTGAGGATAACCTAGTTGTCAAAATGGCTCTACTTGAAGTTGAAGGAGGGCAGTTTGGGTTGGCACACCACAGAGCATCTGCCTTAGAAATAATTGCTGCTTCAGGCCAAGAACCCGAGGAGCAAGCTGTTGACTGAAGTTGTTGCTCTTTTTCATCTTGGGAGTAGGAGGCTTTTGAAATCTATTTTGTTGTATTCAGTGAGAAAAAAAAATCCAGTTTCTTTAACATAATTTTCTAGGATTTTCAGGAAGGTGGGAAGGAGACTTTTTCTGGCTCATTGGATATTTTTCCTGGCCTATGTTATTGACCAGACACATTAATGATCATAGGTAATTTGGGGGTTAGGGTAAGGTTGAATTAAAAACATGGATGGGTTATTTGTATTTATACACATGGAAGGAAACTAGGAAAGATTAGGATATTCTGTGTGGTCTCTAGAAAGAGAAATTTTATGTTTCAGAAAGAGTTTTTGGCCATTCTTTTTTAAAAAAGAGAGAGGTTCTGATTTTAAGCTCGTGAGAACATATAAAAGTAATGGGGATTCCAAGGCACATTTCCCCCATTTGAGAGAAACTACTCTCCAGGGAAATAAGCAGCTTCAGGAAATCCAGGTGTCCCTTAATGAAGCAGCTGGATGTTTACTATCTACTGCGGGAATGATGGCTTAACTAGGAGGTTTGGTCTGGCAGTTGAGGAAAGAAAATTTTGGCTGTGCCTTCTAGTGACTTCAGTGGCAAATCTTTGCTAATTCTGCACAGTACAGTGACAGAGGGGCCAGACAAGACGTAGGGGAACTATTAAGCGAGACCTGACCACAGTTTCCAGAGGAACACTTGTGAGTGGGACTTCTTCCCCGTATTGCCATATTACAAGATGGTCACCCCCTTTTACCTCCCTTTGCCCTGAGAATGCAGAGAATACTTGGCTCTGATCACAGGCCTGGGAGAGCATGGACTACACCCTGGCCCTGCACATGGCTGAAGATGCTGTATGGAGGAGCACATCACCACTACTTTTATCACAGGTGAGAGAGTTACAGTTACAGCCTTTGATACCATCTTCCTTTCTGGAGCATAAAACAAGAACAAATGGATCTATTTGGTGGGTTCTGACCATATACAATGAGCAGGCTGGTGACCCCAATTTTCATGTTACTCAAATAACAACTCTGTTTCTCTGAGGTGAACTTTTCTTCTCTGAGTATTTTTAAACACAAGACAAGATGTTCTCATTTGTTGGAATTCAATTCTACCACGTGTCTTTGGAAGGGCATGGTTAATGTTGGAAGTTCCACGTAAATTCCTAACATAAACCAGAAAGACTCCTCTAGTGGATGACTCACCGAGCTCCTTTTATTAGACAGGACTATTAGTAGAGAAAAAATTTGCAAAAGTGAGTTGGAGGAGCCCTGGGAAAGACCCACGGACCCTGATCCTGGATCCAGTGTCCTCTGTGTGAGCAGGAACAACTTTACTCCTTGCCTCTTCTGTTTGTGGTAGGTCCTCAGCTGGCATCCTGATTTGACACACAAGGGGGAGATGTGCCTACCTGTGTGCACGAGGGTACAGATACGCTCACTCTCCTCCCTGCCCCGCACGCTGTTGAGACTGATTTCATATTCAGTTGCTGGGTACAGCCTGGTGATGGTGAATTCTGTCACAGTGTTGGGCACCACTGAGCTGTCCAGCCTTCCCACTAAGGAAAAGCAGAATTCATGGTTAGTGTTTCTAGCTTTCTCATCCATGTGGTCCATGGCACAGTCTACATGGGGACATTCCGTCCTGAAGCACAGATGGGTGGGAGTTTCAAAACTCAGCAAGAAGGGATAATTGTTTTCACAGATTGGGAATATTGGGGTTTGAAGAGACCTTGCAAGTTGGTCCCACCCTTCATTTTATGAGCTTTTGGAGCAGAGAGAAATGAAATAATGAAAAAGTTGGTCTCTGAGGCAGTTCTGTCCTTGCAGTATAAAGTACACATCTGCAAAGAGGGCATGTAAGCAGCCGAGACAGGACACTCTGTAAAGCTGTTCTCCCTTACTGGAATTAAGCCTGCCTCTACTTTCTTAGCAATGTCACATGTGCCAGCAAGAACTGGCAGGATTCAGGCAAGTTCTGTGCCAATTTTCTCTGACTCATAACTTTCAGGGATGGCAGAAATGGGACCATGTCACTGTGGTCCTCCCCAAGACTCCATCTGGCTCTACTGGGTCTTTATTTCTGTTGAGTTTGAGTCTTAGACTTTCTCAGAGAAATGGTCTGGTTCTTTGCAAATTCATATTAGGGCTCTTTGTTTTTACTGCATGACCTAGATAATGGCAACTGCTACCTTTGCTAGTGAAGAGTCTGTTATCTGTGTGAATGCAGTTCAGTCTATTTTGAGAGATTTTGATAAGTCCATCTTCACTGACATGCTCTCACTTTGAGGGATCATGCCACAGATAGGAGGAAAAATGCAGGCAGAGGCTGATGGCCTGTGAGCTACAATAATTTTCCCATAACAATCTGAATGAGCTTTGAGTCCCATTTACCTCTGAGAACTCAACTCATTTTATTACCTTGGGTGGGTCGATACGATACTCGGTAATAGTCAAAAGGTGCAACAGGAGGACTCCAGGAGACCATCACTGAGTCCTTGGTCACATTGCTGATTGTGATGTCTTTGGGGGGATCGATTCCTACAAAGATCCAAGTGGTTGTGAGAAAAGAGAGAAAGAACAGTGTGAAAAAGGAATTTTTACCTTATTTCTATGTTGAGCAAGAGTCAGTGGTATCCCAGAGGCTAAGATGCTACTAAGTAATGAATCATCCTTAAAACCATGTTCAGTCTTCTGAAATTTGTGGATATGGCCAAAGCGATATTTATGGAGAACATTTTAGCGATAGAAAGCTAAGATGGCAAGGACTGTGTCCATGCAGCAAATATTACCTATCTGAAGGCCGACTAGGAACTTTGTTGTAAGTGCCATGATTTGTTTTGAATTGGGAATAACATAGTTATCTCTGGGGAAAACTTCTTTTGGAAAACCCAACTCTGCTGCTATCTCTTTATTTTTTAGCAGCCATTTGAGTTCAATTTGGAAAAATCGCCTATTGACTGTAGTGGGATTTCAGAGCACAAGTCCAGAACAAATCCACTTTCCTAAATTGCATTTCATTTAGACTGTATACTTTTTTCTTTCACTGACTGCTACGGAATTTCAGGGTTGAATCATATGAGTGTTTAGTCCACTAGTCTAGTTCATGAGTTCTTGTCAGTACCCAAACATGTATGTTCTTAGCCATGTAAGCTTCGTGTTTGGGATTGCATTTGGAAATAGTGAGATAAAAATAATCTAATTCATTGCAAGAGTTTTCACTAAGATTTGTACATTGTGTTTTCCAAATAATGTATAAATCAATCCCAATTTTTTGAGAGCAAAGTCACTATATAGTTGCTTGCTAGTTCTGTGTTTTTTTTTTTTTTGAGGAAGCATAATTTGCATTAGTGACCTTATTGGGCAGTCACAAGATATCTCTCCAGAGTGGGAACAGATGGCTCTTCACTGTAGAGGGGTTCCTCTGGGAGACTGGCTTTCTTCAAGCGTTTCTTTTAGGCTGATAGATCTCTGAATCAATGCATTTAAGCCTTAACCTCAAGACATTGGATCTGTCCTACCTTCCAAATTGGAGTTTCCCATCTTATATATCTTATGCATCCCTGAAAGAAGTAGCTGTTTGAGAGCAGCTCAGAGGTCCTCTCTAGCCAAAGAGGAAGTTCTCTGCAAATTGAATAGTTTTCTTTCTACATTTCATTGATTTGTCAAAGGCAAATACTGTGAGAACCACTTTCATCAACTGCTACCAACTCTGACAGTCTTACCTGTGGTGATGGAGCCTATGATGGGCTCAGAAGTCACTGTGCCATGGACAGCCACCAGGTTGACAATATACTCAGTGGCTGGCTGTAAACCCATCAGGACAAAATGCCTCTTGGTGGCATCCAAGGAGACCTCCATCATTTCTTCCTCTTCATCCTGGGGACTGTAGTTTAGAATGAGTCTGTCTGCTGGGGGAGATGGGTCACTCCAGGTAATGTTGACACTAGAGGACGTCACATGAGAAAAGTGCAAATGGGAGATGGGACGGAAGCCTGAAAAATACAGAAGGTAGATGGTTCTGAAACACAAGTGACACGGCAGCCATTGAGCTAGAAGAACCATTTGAGTGAATGGATTTGCTCTCCTTGCTAATAAGAGTTACATCTTCACTCAGTGTCCAGAGGTTCCATCTCCCTACACTCCAGTCCTGTCTATTCCACCTTTCCCAAGCCATGTACTAAAAAAAAAATCAATTCTGATAAGCCAGAAATACCTCTGTGAGTTATTTATTATACAGATTCAGGTTTAAAAGTCTCCATTCTGGAAGGAATTTAACATGATTCCATGGATGCTTATATTGCCCACTGAGTTAGTGCAGAAAGAGAAAGATGGACAGAACCAGCTATTGTGTCCAGGCTTTAGGATGCCAGACATACATTTTCAGGCATATAGCATCCTTGCTTACCTCTCCCCTTCACTACCAATCATTCCCACTTGATGCATGTATTAGTTTTCCTTCTATCTCTTCTTTTTCTACCCATATTTTTCTTCTTTCTCAAAAGGAAATGAGACTTTGGAAGAATTCTCTGGATGATCTTCTCATATGAAGATCCACTGATTCTTGGACCAGGCTAAGATTTCCACCTAGTACCTGTGAAGGCATCCACAGTGGATTCCAAGCTCTGCTGCCGACCCCTCTCAGCGGTAACAGAAATAATGTACTCTGCCCCAGGCTCCAGGTCTGTCAGTGTATAGGAAGTCCTGTCCTTGGGCACAGTGACTTCTGACGCAATTCCAGAGGATGGTGTAAAGGTAATCCGGTAGTGGTCAATGGGGCCACTGGCCTTGGTCCAGATGAGGGAGATGGAGGTCTCTGAGGAGGCCGTCACCATGAGGTCTCGGGGACTGTCAAGTTCTGTGGGTCAACATAAGTGGCTTATTTTACACAGGTTTCTCAGAATGACCAATATTTATTGGATTATCCTATGCATTTCCAAGATACCAGCAAGCCTGCTGACCATGAGTTCTAGCTTGTCATTGCTGACACTCATGTCACATTTTGTCAAGCAGTTTCCTTTTGAAAGATGGCCAATGGTTCAGCAAACATTCTTATTAGGCCTGACATCACTGGAATACATCCAGCTCTGGGACAAAGCTGGCCACAGGTTTTCAAACTCTCCATATTAGTTTTCATCCAGCCTTTCTCAGTAAGTCAACCAGAACAAAACTGGAGCCACCATCAATTAAGAATGTGACATTTCTGGCAAAAGAAGTTTTCCTTCTGTTTCTGACCATGAGGTCATTTTGACCTGGCCTAACCATGGATGTACAGATGACTTTATCTGAGGACTCCTGGAGACTCTTGTCCATTTTCTAGTAAGATTGTCTGTGCTAGATTGAATCTTGGGGATAGGGATTGGTTCAAAGTCCCCAGCTCAACTCAGTTCAGACTGCTTATAGAGGGGCTACTGGAATTACTTTGAAATTTACCTAGGGTCTAGAAACAAAACTATTGGCTCCAGAGCAGCAAGGTCTCAAGTGGACTTTCTTTCTTTTTTTTTAACTACTCTTGGATTTAATAGGCTATGACCTATGGGAAAGATGATGGGATTCCACCTTCCCTGTCTGATACCAGAAGTTAGTTATTTATAGGTGAATGTTGTCACTAGTCTGTTGGTTGTCACTAGGGCCCTGTTCACTGGGGGACATAGACTTCAGAGAGGTCCTGGCAGAACAGGTCCATATCGCTCCTCAGCTTTCAGGATAACTCACTGTTTCTCTCCATCTTTCTACTCACCAGTCCTGGCATTCATGGTGGCTGGCACGCTTTGCTGTGAGTTCATGACGGCAGATATTCCAACTCCATACTCAGTGCCAGGTACCAGATCTATCAGTAGATGCAGAAACAAACATTATTCTCTGTGTGTTTCGGGGGTGGGGCAGGCTGAAAGGGAAGAAAATAATCTTAGACTTCTGTTCAGGCGTTAAGTTTAGTTTTCCCTGAGTCCTCTTCTAATTTCATCTATTAGAGAGTCCCATTTTCCTACTTAGGAAATCTATACCAAGCCAATAAGATGTCCTTTCCAGCTTCATTTTTGCTGCAGGTCTTAGAAAGAGGCTTAGAAAGGCAGCGAGGCTGCCTTTGTCAGTGAGCTTCAGAAGTCTGGACATCCGTGTAGAGTCTTAGGATGGCTAGACCTGGTAGAGAAGTTCCTTACTGAACTTTCAAATTGGGGGAACATGTAATTCAGAGCTACACTGTTGGTGTATGTCCTTAAGGCATTCCTCAAATGTTGTAATGAAGAGCCTCAGCTTTATAGACAGGAACTGAGGCCATATCTAGACTCTGATATTTCTTCCAAAGAGCAATGTGGATGGGTTTTCTCTCTGTACACAGAACTGTCCTGCCTTTCTGTAATGGCAAAGGGAGCCCTCTAAGCTCAGCAGTTTAAGCCTAGCGCTATGGCTCCCATGTTAGGATGACTTCTGGCAAACTCCAGGAAGGTGGAAGAAATAGAAAAACTGTCCAACTAAAGGGCACACGCCTCTGAGGAAATCCCTTAGGGGTTCATTACAAAGAATCACTGACAGGCTCCCAGAGTGTCTGGAATTCCCTGGGGTCTCTCCCTGGCCTCTTCCATATTTCTTTTCAGATCAATTGTTTTGATCTGTGTATTAGTTTCCTATTGCTGCTATGAAAAATCACCACAATTTAGTGGCTTACAGCCATGACACTTTATGATCTTATAATCCAGAAATTTGAAATCTAAAGTGGTTCAGCAGGGCTGCATTCCCTTTGGGGGCCTTGAGGAGAATCCATTTTTTCACCTTTTTTAGTTTCTAGAGGCTGCATGCACATCTTCTATGATGGTTGCTTAATCTATCTTCAAAGCCAGCATCTTAATATAATCTCATCTGTTTCTCTCTCTGATTGTGACTTTAACTGTCACATCTACTCTGACTTCCTTGAATCAATCTTCTAAGGACCTTTGGGATTACTTTGGGATCATCTGGATAGTATAGGATGATTTTTCTCATCTCAAGATCTTTAATTTCATCACGTTTGCAAAGTCTTCTTGGCATGCAAAGTGACACAAGTGCTAAGAATTAGAATGTGGGCATTTTGGGGGATTATTATTCCATCTGCCACCGTTGGCACCAGTGTTTTTTTGTTTTAAGCCTGGGGTTGTAGAAAAATTCAACAAAAATCAAATGGTCATTTTTAGGAGCATCCATTTGTCAGTCAGACAACTCCTGTTTTCTTTGGGATCATGTATGGGTACCCCAGAACCATGGGTTATTATAACGTTGTTCTGCATTTATGTGCTCTTTGAAATTGAATGTGTCCTGGAGACTCATCAGTCCTTGGGAGGAAGGTGGGATTGGAAAGTCTTTTTTTCATCTGTATTGTTTTCTGAGGCTACTGTTATAAGTTACTGCAAACTGGTGGCTTACAAAGAAAGGGCATTCTCTCAGAGTTCTGGAGTCTAAAGTTTTAAACTCCGAGTGTCAGCAGGATCATGTTCCTCTGAAGGTTCAGGGGAGAATCCTTCCTTGCCTCTTCCTGGATTCTAGTGGTTGCCAGCAATGCTTGGGTGTGACTTATTGCCACATCACTGTGACATCTACCTTTTTGTGTCTGTGTCCTCTCATCTTACAAGGACACCAGTCATATTGGAGTTAGGGGCCACTGTAATCCAATAAGACCTAATCTTAAATTCATTATGTCTCCAAAGACCCTTTTTCCAAATAAGGTCATATCTGCAGATTTCAGTTGGACATGAATTTTGTTCAACTCACTGCACCATCTTTTTCTAAAGAGAAAAGCAAGACACCATTAGAGAAGATTCTCAAACTTCTGGCCTCAGTGTTCAGGGTTTTTAGAAGGACTGACAAGGCCTTGTGCATCCCTTTGATTCCCCTGGTCCCTAAGGCAGCTCTGACTTCCCTAAGACTCCTGAGGTAATAGAAAATATCTTGATAGGACCTGTTTAGAGAAGCCTTCCCTTAACAAATAGCTTATGGCTTCGTTTAGGCAGGGAGCAGTTGCTGCCTGGAGTAGCTAGAAGACCCCCCACTTTAGTGCAGCCTATGTAAGATCTCATATGTGAGCAAAGCTGGGACTACCATATTCTAATGGCTGGGCTTTCTTGAGGGAACGCAGTCCTGAGCCCTGTCTGGGCAGGCATTAGGGTTAGCTTTCTCTTTTCCTTCCCAATCCAGTTTCTCTCTTTCCTAACCCTCACTTCTTTCTTTGCCTAAAATGTTAATATGAGTGGAAGTAAAGTGTGAATTCTGACCAACTTTGAAGTCTGACATACTACCTTCTTTATTCAGGTCTGCCACCTTCCACATGAGTGACTTTGATTGACTTAACATTTTTGGGCCTCACAGATGTTATGGGAATAATAATTGTTTCTATCCCCAAAGGTCATTGTGAGGATTAAAAGCATCTATGTGTTTAAAGGATAGCTCCTGACCCATAGTGATGGTACTCAGGATTATTATTACCCTGCACTGAACACTAGTCTAGGATTTTGAGTTCTTTTTTATAATTGGTCTCATCAGCTGTAGAAAGGGTCCCAGACTCCCAGACATGCACAGGTTGGTCCTAAGCACTCATGTAGTTGTTGGTTTGCTGAGGCTTAGCCTGTCCACTCTTAGCCTGATGAGAACCAGCATGTCCAGGCCTCCGTGAGTCGGGGAGGGTGCCTGCCTCTAGTTTGAATGGCTGATTACAGTGCTCCCAGACCCGTTCCAAACACATATTTATCTCTGACAAGACCTGTGGTAAATCCCAGGTACATCCTCAGTAGGAGAAATTAGATTACTTTTGGGACATAAACTCCTTTTCTCAGGCAGCTGATTGAGACCTTCAATTGCCTATAATGAAGCAGAAATTCTCCACCATAGATAAAGGGTGACAGATCGAGGGAGTAAGACAGAAATTATATGTTGCCAAACGGATCTAACATGTTAACGTTTTCATCTGAGTTTCTTATTTATGAAGCTTAAATGAAATGCTCAATAATTTACAACAGAATCATCTTCTCCCAGAAAATGGCAGAGCTGAATTTAAAGTACTTTCTTCGCAGGTTTTCTGTCTAGGGGATGGGGAAGTGGGACTCGCTCGCGGGCTTTTGCCTGCTGCTTTCTTTGATTTTCAGCAGCTTTCTTCCTGTGGTACAAGTGAATTGTGACTCTTTGCCAGCAGGTAAAATGCAGTTCTGCTGGAAAGGAAAATGTGCATCCAAGACATACTCGGTACTTGTCTATCAGCGCTCTGTGAGCTCCCAGGGAATCCTTGCTTTTAAAGGACCCATTGCTCTCTCTCAGTGCTCCCTTTACCTTTCCGTCCAACTCCTGCAAGTGGTACACTACAAATGGCTTTGTTCTCTTTCTCAGCAAAGGCTCAGAGAATCTGTCCCAGATGAAACCACCATCCTCCATCCCTCAAAGCGCTTCCTTTGTTAGGTTAGAGGTTGACACTTTTCAACTCTCACAGCACCTCCATTCTTCTCTGAACACCCAAAGCACACATTTCATCCATTCCACAAATTTTATTGAGGGCTTCCTTTGTGTCAGGCCAGAGGCTGGGTGCAGGGGATACCAGCTGAGCTGAGCACACATCACCCTTGCTCTTTTGGGGATCAAAAGAAAATGGTACTGAAAAGCAATTAATTGTTTAATAGGTACCCATATTATGTTAAGCTGCATGCAATACATAATAGAGGAGAACAATGAAGAAAAAATAGCAGGAAGAAAGAAGCGGGGAACCAAGGAGAATTTTCTAATGTCTGATGATAAAGAGTACGTCTACAACTGTATATTCTCAGAGATTCATATGTTACTTCATTTAATTCCCTTTAGCTTTGCTGGGTAGATATTGCATATGACGCCTTGGACAAGGTCACAAACCTAATGCAAATAAAAGTTAAGCTTAGATCCCCCTGTTCTCTCTAGCTTCTGTCCCTAAGAGTTGGCAGTGGGGACCGCAGTAAGTGAACTGCAATCTGAGTGACTTCATACAACTCTGAGGGGTGTTAATACGAGCTGCTCCAGAGGCAGATGAGACCAGTACAGGCTGGAGTAGTCAGAGAAGGGACTTCAGGTGGACTTTGAAAGCTGGCTAATACCAGGAAGGGTGCAAGGAAGGAAATATGGAATCCTCTGGGGGTCAGAGTAGGGCATGTAGACAGCAGGGAGTTAGCGTTACAGAGTGATTGAGGTGAGACAACTCTCACCTGTCCTGCAAGAACAGAATCCTCACATCTCCAGGACTTAGGAAATCTATTCCTAATGCTTACTGGTGGTGGTGGAAAAAAAGACCCTTTGCTCTCCCTTGCCAGCAAAAACATGAATAAGGCACTTGGGGGCTGCAGGCTTGGCTGGATTCAAATGGACATGCAGAAGAATGGACCCTTCCCATCCTAAATCCCCGAGCTCATCTGTGAAGCTCAAGTTTGCCTAAATAGGGAGAGGGATTTTGTTGACCCTAGTATCTTGGCCTCCTGCTTTCATAAAAAAGGGACAAACTGAGGACCCTGTTCCCAAGGAGTTTAATCAATCTTTTAGTTTTAATGGCAGCAGTGCTTTATATGGTTACTATACTTTTCATGTCAGTCTCTTCAATAGACTCCTAGATCTTGGGCCCGAGGATCTAATTTGTTCTAGTGTCTGAGGCATAGAAGCAGCGTGCAACAATAGTGGTGATAGAGACTGATGGAAGACTTCCACAAAAATGATGTCTGAGATTGGTTTGGAAGGCTCCGTGGACATTTGGGTGAAGGAAGGACATCCCAGGCAGAGTGAACAGCATAGGCCAAGGCAGATCTGAGAAAAATTATTTATGTTAATCAAGACCTAATGTAAGGCCACACCAGAGGA